GTAGAGGTGTCGAGAGCCAGAATGTGACGTCACTCCGGTCCAGGCACCTCTACAGGACAGGTGAGGGAGCTTTAAGCAATGCATGTGTTGATGGAGCTCCCGTGCGGCCATAACTCCATACTATCCCGCCTCAAGCTGACACTCGGCGTTGGGCAGCATATTCTGAATGGCTGCTTGGAACAGGAACTAACAGTGCTGCGCTAGGGGGAGGTTGAGGAGCCTCTCTCCTAGAAAAGTGGAAGGTATGCAATGACCCACTGAACACGGGGTCACGACCCACTTTTGGGCCACTACCCATCAGTTGAGAACTGAGGTTTTAGAGTCATCTAGATTTTCTTTCAAAATTTCTACAGAGTGCCCACTAAAGGGGAAAGGGCACAATTACTGACTGCGCAGAACTTGTTTAATCTGGTGACATTGTAAGTGCTGCCTGTCACGGCCGTGCCTCCTATATGTAAATTAATTTTTTAATGCTGGGGATGTGGACTATATATACACTTAATTTTACTTTAAGCAACTATTTTGACCTGTTGCCATGTAATGACATCAAAGTGGGTATGTGTTCGGATTGCCTTTTGAGAATCCCATCCTGCTAGCTCTGTGTATTTACAGAGTGTCTGGCTTAAACTATAATTAAACACACTATTTTTTTTTTGCATGTATCTACTAGCAAGCAGTAGATATATACAGGTGAAATTCGAATAATTAGAATATCGTGCAAAGTTCTTTTATTTCACTAAAAAGTCACCCAAAAGACTAAAACTTACCTGTGTCTCCGCCGTGCGTTCCCATCCGAAGTTCTCAAGATTCTCAGGCCGCCGCAAAAGATCATGGAGCATGCGCAGTAGAGCTCTTCGGGAGAAGAGGAGTGACACCGTGTAAGTCATTGCACGCGCACAGGCACCGTGGGACGCAGCAGGCACCGTGAGATGCAGCAGTCAGCGCTGGATCAGAGACCGGCACCAGCGCTGGATGGACTACTGGAAAGAAGATGATTGGCTCAAGAGGCATCATTTAAGGTAAGTCCTTACACCAGCATGGGGGGAGGAGAAATGTTTTTACTTAAATGTCACTTTTAACACGCTGAAATGATGGAAAACTGTTCTTTACTGTAGCAGCCAATTACTTATTTGCTTTCCTGCTGTAAAATAGAAACATGAAAAAAAGAAAGGTCTCAGTTTATGACCAGTATAGGCCTACTGCTATTGCACTATGGGGTTTTGGGTGATATGGGAGCTGATGTCAACATACTAAGTCAACTGTTCCTTAGTGTAGACTTGGTATAGGCTGCTTCTCTAGTATACCCTCAAGGCTACAGCTGTCTGTGGACTTCCCACGGTGGCTGGCTGCTGAACAAAAGTTAATCTACAACATACATGCATGTTTTCATTAGGTCAACATGCATACAGGGCCTATAGGGACGGATAGGGAACACTATGCAAATATCTCCAGCAATGGCCCCAGTTGGTTAAAAAAAAAAAATAGAAATAAGTTCTATTTCCCACCCATCCCACAAGAACACTCAGGGAGGGCTTAGAGACATGCAATCTTTGCCTGGTCTAACTGTAAACAGTTGGATCAAGTGAATTTTTTGGGAAATTTCTTGGGTCTGCGGGTAACTTCAGTTGCCATTGCTGGTGAACGGCATCAGTCATGGCTTGTTCTATTCTTTGGGTATTCCAGTACAAAGTTCCCAGGTCTACCTGCTTAATTTTTGCTATTTTTGAAATGTCCCAGGTTGGTGGTGCATTCACCGTGAGCGTTGTCCCCTGAACAGGTACACTTGGCAGTAGAAGCTGGAAGGGGAATATGAGCAATTGGAAAAGGTTTTCTAATCGGCTGAACATTGCCATCTAAGCACCACTTGGTGGGTATCTGCTGCTGCAGTAGACATGAAATCTGAGCTTAGTCCAACCTTAAACAGTCAGACTCGATAACTCTTATCATAGGTCTGTGGTAATATCTCCTTTTAGATTATTTTTATATTCCTGTACAGAAGTGAGACCAGTCAGTGTCTGGGGTATGCAGATCTAGGAATTCTGGGTGGAGAACTCACTGCTGGCATTCTAAGAATTCTTTTAACAAACACTTTATTAAAGTTGGCCATGACTGTAGCACTCTGGTTTTTGCCTGCTGTGTTTTAAGATACCTGTAATGAAAGAAACATGAAGGCTGCCATTGCTAAGCTCTCCTTCTGCAAATGCTGTTTGCTTGGCTGTCAGGCTGACCCTCTTTGCTTTTATTTCTCAGTCAATGACGTAGAACAAATAAGAAAGTAAGGACGTTGGCTCTTCTTTGATTTAACAGATCTATATCTGCATGTTGTGAATCGGTAACTCAAATGGATCAGAAGAAGTCAACTATCAGAAGGTCAGCAATGGCAGTCCCCGTAGGTTTTATGACCGGTTTACTTTAACCACTTGCTGCGGGTGACCATACATATACGGCCGGCCTCTGAAGGGGTTATACCAAGAACGCGGCGATTGCTGTTTCTGTACAAGCAATCCAGCATCTGTACAGGCGCCAGATCGCTTGTACAGTGCTGCAATGTGTCCCCCCTCCACTGCCGCTGTCGGCTTCCTCGTGCTCCACTGTCCCACATGCGGGCCAGGGACTGGATTAAAAGTGTTTTTAAAAATAAAATTAAAGTAACATTTAAAAGAATGGTAAAAACATTTTTATAAAGTCCCCTGCCCCCCACGTACAAGCACATACATATGCAAACATGCGTCGGGTGCGCCTTCATGCAAAAGCAAAAATTGCGCCACACATGTTGCATACCGCTGCGAACTTCGGAGAGAAATCAATAATTCTCGAGCCATCAATCACTGTCGGCACTAAACTGATGAGCAGTAAAAGCTTTTAAATTGGGAAATTTTGGGTATTGTAGTTATTGCGGCTTCACGGGCGAACAAAATTTAAAAGGCTTGACATGTTTGCTATCTATTTACCCGACGTGACCCCGTCTTTTATATTTACCAAAAAATTGGGTTTTCTGTGCACTAAATTTCATTTTAGTGTGTTTTATCCTAAAAGTATTGGTTTGATAAACATTGCATTTTTTTTATTGTACAGGGCCTCTGCTTTCAGAAACGATATCCTTGTTTGGGGGTTTGAAGCGGTTTTCTAGCCAAAAATTCATATTTTATCGTGTGTGCGCAAATAGTAAGAAATAGTTCCGGACAGCAAGTGGTTAAGCTGTCTGTGTGGCAGTTTTCAGAGTTGCATGAGAAGTATAGAATCCTCCAAATCCGCAGCTATATCATTTAACTCCTGTCTGTCAGATCACCACAGCACATTCCTCAGACAGTGGATTGCACGTAGAGCGCTCTGCACATATGGCATCCAAGCCTTTCCAGGAAGACTTACAGCGCTGAATCTGTGGGATCAGAACTCCAGGCACCCCAGGTAGTTATGTGCATGTATTGTGTAAATACTGCAAGGAGGCAGAGAAATGACACGAAGCTGTAGACCTTGAGGCTGTAAATGGTGGTTTTACATTGAGGGCTCGTTCACACATACTCCAATGTCCTGTGTTTTTTACCGTACTGGGTCAACGCAAGTCACCAAAAGAACACATGGAAAACAGTTGTTTTGTATGTGTGACATTCACACTATGGTCACTGTCGCCCAGAAGAAGGGACCCTGCGTGGCCCCGAAACTTTGGCTGTGTCACGCATGTGACAATTGAATAAAAAGCGCTTTACTTCTTGCACACGTCATCGAGTGCTGGTGACTTCTATTATGGACTGTATCTGACACGGCGACACCCGTGTTGTCACTTCAAACACCAACCTTTCATCAAGGTCTGTATGGAGTGCAGGTGATTTCGTATTATGGACATTCACACCATAACGCAAGTGTGATGGGCGCAGTACCGTGATGAAATGCAAACATCCTGCATTTTAACGCAGCGCACTGGATGCCAGGTTGCTGCACAGCAATGTGGTTGTGTGGGGACCTGAATGGAGTGTACACATTTTGCACTCCACATAAAAGTTTGAAGAAAAATAAAACCATGAATGGTATCTAGTCTCCGTGCCAGAGCTGCCACGACACATTAGCCCGTCTGGTAAAATGCTATGTATTTAACTATTTGGCTTCAAATAGTCTTTAAAGAAGAACTGTGGGGTAAGTGTTTTTCCCCATAGTTCTTCTCAGGGTCACGGGCAGACATAAATTAGCGTCCTCATGTGACCCAAAGCTCGGTATATTGAGAGCACCACAGCCGGGACGGATCCCGACATTGCTGTTGAGATCCACCCAGCTACGTGATTGGCAGCGGGCTCTGCCTATCTAGAGGCAGAGCCAGCTGTACCCGCCCCCTTTCCCCATCTGCCAGTCAGCGCTGGAGGATCGGAGCGGGGAGGGGGGGAATCCCTGTAGGGAGCCGTGAGTGACAGTCACGGCTCTCTGCGGGTACAGGATCAAGAAGTGAGTGAGCGATGGTATGTGTTCGCTCACTTCCCGATCTATTGAGCCGACGTGTGACAGTTTCATTGTCGCACGTCGGCTCGAACTATGAGAATGAGTGAAAATCGCTCACCTCATAGTTTCTCCTTTTATTCTGTATCCTGAAACGCTCAATATTGACATTGCTTGGTTATTTTTACTCTATAATCGCCTATTGCATTCTGGATTGTGTATGCTCAGACTTGGTAAACACTTGGCCACCCAGGGTTCTTGTTCCAGCTTTGCCCTGCCCGCCCATAGATCAACAGCTCACTCCAATATTGATCTATTGCTGGAGTTGTGCTCAGAACGTGATCCAAGCATTCCTGTGATGCACCAGCCCATCAAACTCCCTTTTTGTTTGTAATCTGATGGCAGTTTAGCAGGAGAGGTATCACTGTAGCAAGGCAAGCATAGTTCTTCTGAACACGAAATAGAACACAATCATTCTCAAATTTCAACCATTAAGGTGCCCATACACCTATCGATTATTGTTCAGTAAAAAAACAGAATTAGAAGAATTTCCGCCAATTGGAAAAGGAGGGATGATGTCCTTGTATCCAGACCATGTTAAACCCAACCTTGTCAAGTCTGATTTCCAGTCTGAGTGTTCACAGCTGCTACCTAGGGATGACATGAGATGTGGGAGCAATCAAGTATGTATTTTGCAGTATTGAAAAGTTTTTTTGTTTCCACCAATATTGGCTATATTCACCTGCCGCACGGTGAAAGATGCCGCACGGTGAAAGATGCTGTACAAATATAGAGACGTCTATGTATTTTTCATTCTTACCAGCAACGCTTGTTCATAAAGCAACTTGTACCCACATATTGATTTTCAAGAACTCTGAAAATGATTAATTTGGTATCATGAAACTCCTTTTATTAGAGATATTGAGCAGCAGCTGGTAGTTTCAGGTGACTGGGAGGAATCATCGGTTAAACGTGTGACCTGTATGAGTCGGAGCAGGGAACTTTTGTTCTGGGGTAAGCTATGTGAAAGACCATGAAAGAAAGAATGGGTGACTCAACACAATGAACGTATTGTTTTAAGGTGGTATAACTACCCTATTTCCCCGAAAAATAAGACCTATCCCGATAATAAGACCTTGTACTATTTTTGGCAATTGGATGTAAATGGTCCCAAGCCTGATCTGCCTGCATGTTCCAGGGTAGTCACACATAAGACATTGAAGGCAGAGGATCAATGTCAGCCAGGTAACTAGCCATTTCAGTAGGTTACCAATGGCAGGTTCCATTTTACTCTCCCTACAGGGTTCATTTTCTTTGGCCCTGTTGGAGTATGTGTAATGTAGAGCTGCAGCTAACGATTATTTTCAAAATCGATTAGTTAGCCGATTATTAAGTTCGATTAATCGGTTAATCGGATAAACAATAAAATAAAGTTTAAAAAATGGCTCCAGTGATGGGACTACTAGTTTGTATTGAGGTTGTAGTCCATCACAGGAGCAAGCTTGGAGCGGTGGAAGTAAAAAAGAAAAAAAATAGTGTGGTGTGCAATATAGTGAAATGGAAAGTGTAAAATTATACAGCAATGAATGCAAAATGGCACCGGCTATAGAGGACTACAAATCCCAGCTATAGTACATTATACAGCGCAATGCAGAATATAACCAACTATAGAGGAGTACAACAAATCCCAGCAATAGTACATTATAGCTGGCGGTATTCTGCATTGCGCTGTATAATGTACTGTTGCTGGGTTTTGTAGTGCTCTTTAGCTAGTGGTATTCGGCATTGCACCACTGTATAATGTACTATTGCTGGGATTTGTTGTGCTCCTCTATAGCTGGTGGAATTCCGCATGGTGCTGTATAATGTATTATTGCTGGGATTTGTAGTCCTCTATACAGCGCAGTATAGCACCAGCTATAGAGGAGTACAACAAATCCCAGCAATAGTACATTATACATACAGTGTATAATGTATTGCTGGGATTTGTATTCCTATGTATAATATACAGCACAATGTACCATCAGCTATAGAGGACTACAAATCCCAGCAATACATTATAGAGCACCATGTGGGGGAAAGTGCAGGCTTACCTGAGCAGTCTTCCAGCAACTTGCTTCTGAGATCGGGTCTGTCTGTCGACGGCTGTCATCCCCCCACACCACGTCTGGCAGCGATGAGCGTGATTTGGGGAGGAGGTGCGGCGCGCAGCGTGTGTGTGGAGCCGTGAACAGGGCCAACTGATCGGAAGCCGATTAATCGATTATTGAAAAAGTTGACAACTTTTTCAATCGATTATAATCGATTATGTCGATTAGTTGTTGCAGCCCTAGTGTAATGTAGCATTTTCTACTCTGGTAACTGATATAGCCAGGGAGTTCAGCAAGGCCCCTTTCACACGAGCTGATCAAGAGGGGAATCTGTGCACTTCATCTTAACCCCGATCCAGAACTATCACGTTTTTCTGGACCTGACCGGAGCCCGGGGGAGGGGGGGCTAACTGGATGTAAATGGTCCTTTTAGACTTGGCTGCCCATAGACTAACATTGGTCATCTGATCAAGTCTGCCTGAAAAACTGATAGGCGGACCTGATCGGACTGCCAGTGTGAAAGGGGCGACGGTATGTGTTCGCTCACTTCCCGATCTATTGAGCCGACCTGTGACAGTTTCATTGTCGCACGTCGGCTTGAACTATGAGGATGAGTGATTTTCACTCACCTCATAGTTCTCCTTTCAGTGCTCTGGTAGCGCTCCATGGCTGGTGAGAGCGCCAACTATAGGAATGCGTGGCACCTTTTGGATGCTGATTTGCAACACCAGCCTTGCTTTTCTGTTTCTTGAACATTCAAAAAGTTTTGCGTGGAATCACCGAGTGCAGTGGAGTCTTTTATGTTTTATAATGTATACAATACTGATGAACTCTATTTTGAAGGAGATCTGAAGAGGTGGGTGGTGTTTTGTTTTTTTCCCCCTTTTTGCAGCTGGTCACGGCATCATAACAGTAATGGCAACATCATCGCAGTCATAGATTTGCTTCCATTAATGTAGAGAGCGTGTTTTTTTCCGTTGTGGTGTTTCCTGTGTTGATGGAGTCAGGATATTTTCCATTCTTTGATCGCTGGCCATATTACATCACACTTTATTCTGTCTCTGATCAAAACAAGGTGCTGCGGAATGAACTTTTCTGTTGGAACCCACTGGGTGACTCCTAACTACTGTCTTTTTGTTTCTCTTTAATCTATATTATAACGGCATAGAAAGGGTAAATGTGATGCTTAAAAAAGGCTACAGAAGTTGTAACTAGTATTTAGGCCTCTTTCACACTGCCGTATAATATGCTGTACATAGCGTTTGCGTGCAGCGGTTTTTCCCATATGCAGCATATGCAAAAAAAATGGAACTGAGATGCGTCCGGACTCGGAATTTCTGCGTATTTTACGCACGTGCGCACAGTACATTAATGTTTCTTTTGAAAATAATGATGCCTTCTGGGATTGCACACAGTTCATGCACATATACGTGTCTATACGCATTTACTAATGTATACAATTTAGCTCTTGCGTTGTTTGTGTGAATTAAGGCCGTGACACACTGCACGCGGAGCGGGGGCGCGCTGCTTTTGCGAGCAGTGTGTCATGTAATTTTCTGCTCGGCACCCCAGCTTGCGAGAGCTAGCGTGCCGAGATGAACAATTTCAACTTCAGCCAATCGGCTCGCGCATATAAACCAGCGCGTCACGATGCGACAGCTGGCAGGTTGTTACGGACGAGCCGATTGGCTGAAGGTGCTGTCAATCATCTGACTGCACTCCGCTCACACACTGCACGCAAAGCTCCGTGCCGGATAGCTTTGCTTCGCTCTGCACGGCTTTGCGTGCAGTGTGTCACGGCCTTTAGGCCTAAAGTGATATTAAAGTCAAAAGGTTTTTACGCCATTTCAAATGCTACTTCTTGATGTTTAAAAGTTTTAGTTGCCTTCAGAATCAGCTGGTCACCTGAGCACTGACCCTGATTTCCTGTTTTTAGGGTGGCTCCTTTCCCTTGCAGGGTCCTATGGAGCCACCTTTTGTGTGTGCTAGTAAGCTGTGTGTGTCTCTCCACAAACACATTCAGAATTATGTATGTATGGGTTGTCTGACATCAAAAACAGAAGGATGAAGAGTACCACTGGTGTGCTGATGACTAATTGCTATATCACAGACAGCAAGACGTGCTCTTCCTTCCCCCTCTCCTTTTTTTTTCCCTTCATACTAGTAGATGGGCGGCTGCTGGAGTCTATGCTATCCCTTGTGTTCTTGTATTCGCCAGGAAATTCAGGGAAGCAAAGCTAATAGAGTTGGAGCCAGAAACATGATAACTGGAAGTGTTTGGGCAAAAATGTAAAGAAATGCTTTGCTGGGCAATGTCTAGTTGTTTCATCTGGATTCATTATTGGAAGAAGATTGTGAGTTTAATACTACTATAATTGGCTGCTTTAGTGATGGAGGTTTCATGGATTCCATTTTTTTTATGTTCTAAGATTTGGGCACATCAGGATCCTGCTTACCAGTGATGAAAAGGAGTTCCAGGGGCGTGTCCTGGACATGGCAGCGTGAGGTGCTTGATCGGTGAGCTCTGCGGCACCAGTGTACCATACCTCTTCTAACCGAGACTTATAGCAACTTGTTTGTCCGATCCCGAGATGTCCCAACGTCGCAAGACCGGAGGCACCAAAAAATCGCAGGCTGATGCTTCCCTGCGACAATTTAAGTATGAGCACTTATTAGTCTACCTGTAGATTAGATACATGTGGTCTTGGATTAGAAAGAATCAGAATAAAGTCTTGTTGCACCCCTCAATCCCAGGTACTGGGTGAGCGGGTAGTACCCACAGATGGCCGTTAGCAATACGAACTCTGATCATTTTCTTCACTGTATCTGCCTTTTATATTTGATGTTGGTGGCTACGTCCACCTATAAGTTGATGTTGATAACTGATGTTGACTACTTACTTGTACTTTTCTATTTGCACTGCTCAATAAAAAACAAGAATTCTAAAAAAATAAGAAAAGGAGTTCCAAACTCATAAGGGGATTGTCTTGCAGGCTGTATTTGGGAAGAATTCCTGTCAATGGAAAGAAGCATGTGCTGAGTTTTCATTTTCCGAGCAAGGCCTGTCTTTAGTAGTTCCATCCATACCCATATGCGTGGTCATGAGGCTGCCGGGGCTTTTCAGGATTGATGGACTTGCACCCTATTCTAATAAGCAGTGTGGCACTTTTGCAATCTTGTTCTCAGGGCTTGAAAAATCCACTTGTCCTCTCATATGTGACGAGGGGACGCCGGAGCCGGACGAGTAGCTTCCCGGCCGGCCGTTGTAATAAAATGGCCGGCCGGGAGCTTCACATTTAAGCGATCGCACGTTTCTAGAGACACCCGATCGCTGTATTAGTAGCTGCTGTCACCGTCGTTGCCGGTCCTGAGATCCACTGTGGCCGGGACTGGAACGGCTGCTCTGTGACAGGAGAACAAAGGGAGATTGGTACACGATGGTCTCCGAATGCAGGAAGTGATGTATATTACATCACGTCCGCATTCTGCTGTCAGTCTCCAGCTTCAGAAGCTGGTGAAGCAGATCTCTGCTTCATCAGCTTCTCTGGGGCTCCCTAGTGATAGGGGTCTTGGAGACTCCTAATGTCTCCATAAAGTGGACCTGTCATGTAAATTAGCTATCACATAGGGGGCTTCTTAGCCCCCCCATATGATGGCAATAAAGTTAAGTGTAAAAAAAAAGTAATCAAAAAGTAAAGCATTAAAAAAACACAATTTTTCAGTCTCCCCACATACACACGCAAACATGCGTTGGGTGCCACTACGTGCAAAAACGACTACTGTGCCGCATTTGTTACATATCACTTCGAACGTCGCAGTGAGAGCAATAATTTTAGGGCCATTAATCTCTGATAACACTAAACTGATTAGCAGTAACAGCTGTTAAAGCGTCGCCTATGGCCCAATTTTCAATGTGGCCGTTTTTTGCGGACGCACACAATTTTAAGGCTTGACATGTTTGGTGTCTATTCACCTGACGTGACCCCGTCTTTTTTTATATTTTACCAAAAATATGGGTAAGAATAAATGTTTTTTAACATAATGTAGGGAAAACCATTTTTATGTCTTTGAAATTTACAGTATTTTTTTCATTATATAGTAAAAAATTACCACTTCCCTCACCCCAGTGGTGATTTATATACCACCAAAAAAAAAAGATCTATCTGTCCCAATAAAATGTTAAGCTATAGTCCGGTCATGCTGACTGGTGACATTTTTGACTGGTGAGAGACCCTCAAACTTTTCAAGCCCTGCTTGTTCTATAGTTGCTTCTTGAATGTGAGATACCAACTGAGGTGGTTTAGGCATCTTGAAGGGATACTCCATGGAAGTCTGCAAAAGCTGGAGTAGACCCTTCCAACAGAGTCCTGAAGCAGATCCACAATGGCATTATTTTCCCCCAAAGACCAGGAATTACATACAATCCTTCCAGGGAGATTTTTATTTGGACCCGCTTCCTTTCCTTACATGACTAAGCAGCTTTAAAATGGTGATGAGAGGGCAATATAATGCCGGTTAATAAGCTTAGACATACCTCCAAAATGTATTTTTCCATATAAAAGTGTCCTCATTGATTCTGTGCTTGTGGTTTACTAATGGTCTGCTTCTCTTTTCTTTCAGATCCTTGTAACAGGCACATTTTTTTTTTTTTTTTTTTTTTTTTTATCTGCAGTTGTAATTTTTCTGTCAAAGCTATTAAGAAATAATAGAAATTTAAAGAAGGAAGAGATTGAGACGTTTTCTGAAGAACTGAGCAGGATTCTGTATGATAAGTATGTCAATCACTGGTACACAGAGACGCCGACTAAAGGACAAGCATATAGGTATGGGACAAATGGGCTACCTGGTGCCTGAATTTATCTTCAAGTAGTACTAAAGGCATGTCTAGTGCCTTTCTGCAACCCCCCACGCTCGCCTGTGGTTCCTTGTCTCTTCTGCCGGGTCGGGGAAGATGTCCTCCATTCCCGGACTTCCTGGTTGTCAAATACTGAGGGCAAAAAAATAAAGAAGCATAAAAAAATGTTTAAGTCCCCGCCCCCCACATACACACGCAGATATGTGTCGGGTGCGCCTACGCGCGAAAACGACTATTGTGCCGCACATGTTACATATCGCCGCAAACGTCTGAGTGGGAGCACTAATTTTAGAGCCATTAATCACTGATAACACTAAACTGATGAGCAGTAAAAGCGTTTTAATCGTCGCCTATGGGCGATTTTTGCGGGCGCACGCAATTTTAAGGCTTGACATGTTTGGTGTCTACCGTGTTTCCCCGAAAATAAGACACACATATATTTTTTTAGGGGCTCAAAAAAAACACAAGGTCTTATTTTCGGGGTAGGTCTTATTTTTATTTTTGTATAGTCTTAACTAGAGGTGCACCGAAATAGAAATAATTGTCAGGCCGAAACCGATACCTAAAATGTTTTTCTTTTTTTAAATATTGAATTTTATTTTTTATAAACTTTTTTAATTTTTTTTTTTTTTGCATTACTTTTAGGGGCTTTGGGGGAAATATTAGGGGTCTAAACAGACCCCTAATATTTCCCTTTTTAAAATAGAAAAAGAGATTGAGTCCTCAGACTACACCTTCCCTTGTCTGAAATACAAGTCTGTATGAGGGTACTTGTGGCTGTTACTCAGCTCTTCCTTCATAGAGTGCTGCAGTGTGAGCGCCGGAAGCAGCATTTTCATTGTAAATCGCTGACTGGGCTGATTTCGTGTACCCAGATTGTAACTAAAATTCTTGTTTGTCCCCTTCTTAGATGTATCCGTGTGAACAGATGTCAGGGTTTTGATCCAGACCTCCAGAAGGCTTGTTTCAACAGTGGTTTACTGTATGAAGACTTGGGGTTACCCAAAGAAATGACATTATGGGTGGATCCGTGTGAAGTGTGCTGCAGGTGAGTGATCACAATGTAGACCTCAGAGATTATTCTGATCTGCTGATCCCTGTCTTCTTTCACCTTCAGCCATACACAGCGATGCACTGGTTGTACAAGTATTTATTATGTAGGGTATTCACAGTTAAAATTTTGTACAAACAAAACTGATTTTGGAATGCTCCTTCGACTTTCTAATAGTTGATGGGGTCAAATCGACCAACTTCAGCCACCGTGAGAGAAAATTTGAAGGAGGAGGTTCGAAAATTTTCTCGAATGAAATTCTAACAGTGAATGTGGTTTTTGGTCGTTAAAGTCCATTTATTCTAAAATCAAATTAGTTTTTGAATGACAATCGTCCGTGTCTGGCATTATCAAACGTGCGTTTGACGATCTACCCGTGTACCCTAGTTTAGTATGTGAAGGAGGGAGGGAAGCAAGCAAATGGGATTGTCTTGCTGAAGCTGTTCTTTACATATATGTTCTAAATTTTTATTCTGTGTCAGCTGCGCTCAGTAGTTTGATCTGGCAGCCCGGCTATGGTGTCCTGTAGTGAAATATAGGGGCCAGTGGGAGGCTCCGTTCACAAAACTAACACACTAGGATAAAGGATGCTTATTTTCAAAAAAGGTATGGTTCCTGGCCCAGGGGCAAATGGTCGCTGCTGAGGAGAGTAGACTGCAAGGTGCCTCAATCACAAGCACCCAGACACTCCCAGCCACACCAGTTCAATACAATGTGTGCCTGCCTCTGATGAGGCAGGTCTCACAGGGAGCTATCGGCAATGAAAACTGCTTCCGCTGGCTGGAGACCTCTAGTACCTCAAATACATACCACCAGGCAGTGGAGGGATATCCCCTAGAGCACACTCTGAAGTAAACAGTTCTTCAGGGGGAAAGCCAGGACTTCTAGCCAAGACCCGGGTGCTGCCAGGCCTGTAAAGGGACACTGACTGGTCGATTTTAAGACCGGCTGGTCATATGTGCCCCTAGTGATACTTCTCACAGGCTGCTCTTCCACGATGCAGAGCTGTCGCAGCGAAACCTGCCGTAGTGAGGAACTGCCTTTGCTTGCTGGCAGGACTGGGGAAGACTACAAGAATCTATAATATCTAGCTTGTCGCCCAGCCTGCTGTTATTTGAATTATGATCTGTGGAAAAAAAAAAAGGCAAAAAATTAAAAAGTAAATAAAAGGAAAGAAAAATAATCCCACAATGGATTCTTAGGTCCTAACTCCTTGACGCTAGGCAAAAAAAAAACCTGCAGTTGTTCATAAACGGGGGGTTGGCTACCAGCAGGGGCCTCCCCTAGGCTGTTTGTGTTTTGCCTAGTGTCCTACTCCTGCAGGTGGCAGTATAACCCAGTGGTCAAGATCTAGCGATCTTTGATGTGTCCTTCAATGAACCCAGAGAAAAGGATTTTACGGCTAGTACTAAAATCCAATTATTTTATTTTTTTTGTCAAGTGTGATTTGAATACGAGTCACGTGGCTAAAATAAAGATAATTATCCTGATGTTAAAGCTTTGTTTCTTGATCCTGTAGGATTATTTGCATTACGTTGATTGTTTCCTCTCCGTGTATATTTCAATAAAGTTGTAGTCATGGCTCATAGTGACCAATGGGGCTTTGCTGTCCCTTCTTCGCAATAAACCATAGTAACCTTGTATTGGCCACTTTCCGCAATAACCCTGCCTCTTCTCCAGTCAGAAAACCTGAGCAGTAACAAACATTTCTAATGTTCAAAACTTTCATTATTTCAGTACATGTGGTCATCAAATCAGGGTGACCCTAGGCCCCATGTTGCAGTATTGCAATTTAAGTGCATTGATGCAATGCCATTCTTTCTGAATGACTCCCCATTGCATCTCCCAAAAATTTTTGCTGTGCAGTTCAACGTGTGTTAATGCACCAACGTGCAGTGCACTGCCAAAAAATAATGCATGGATTTTCTGGCAGTACACCCAACACACAATGTATGGACGTTCATTGTGCTTCTCCACCACACACATTCAGCGGCAGGTTCGTCTGGGTGCCATTCAGAATTAATTGCACCGCCTTACACCAATGGATGGAGCGGGCGATACCTTTTTTAAAAGCCTGGTTGAAGTGAAGCTTGCACTACAAGCATGGTCTTATTAACTTTTCCCCCCTCCCCATGGCAAAACAAAATGGGGGTTAGTTATTAAAGGATCATTCTTCCCATGTAGATTTGGGAAAATGGAAGTATTCTCCCCCCCCCCATATACTTACCCTTTGGGCTGAGGCTCCTTCCACAGGGTGGGTGTACTATCTGGACCTGGTACTGCCGTGTAGCGCAAACCTGCGCTCTGGATTTAGAATTACACTTGCAAATGGAGAGCACTCATTGGTCAGCACGGTCACCTGACTGTGCTGCCCAATGAGGAGCGCTTCTGACCTCGCTGACCCATCAGAAGCATTTTTTTTTTGCTAAGAAGTGCTTCCCGTTGGGACTGCGCTGACCAGTAAGTGCTCGCCATTTGCAAGCAAATTCAGAGTCCGGACCGCAGGGCGGCACTACACAGCTGTATGGGATATGGGTTGTACATCGGCACCGGCAAAGGGGAAGCAATGAGCAACCCTAAGGTACCCAGCCCAATTGTGCGGTAAAGCACAGGTACCCAGCCCAATTGTGGGGTAAAGCACAGGCACCCAGCCCACTTGTGCGCTAGAGCACAGGCACCCAGCCCACTTGTGCGCTAGAGCACAGGCGCCCAGCCCACTTGTGCGCTAGAGCGCAGGCACCCAGCCCAATTGTAACATGTGACAGGGACCCTGAATCTCACCACCTTGCCATATGAGTCGGTCATGTCATGTCCTGAGTGTGTCTGTGGTTTACTGCTGGGCATACACGAGGTTAAACGTAGTCAGACACAGACAGCAGCAGGGGAGAGAGGGGGGCTGCCCACAAGTTTGCAGCTGCAGAGCTTGAGATAAGAGGAATTCCAAGGTGCTGTCAGTGGAAGCCAAGGAGAGAAGTATACATTTCATACTTTTTTGTTTTCCTAATGGGTTTTCTATTTCTTTATTTTGCAGCATTCCCCCTTGCGTGCAGTACAGTAAATAAGTGAACTTTTTCGTTTTGTTGCAAGGTTCACTTTATGACCACCCAAATTATAAAACTGATGTAAATAAATACACACTTCACATCTCCTCTCTCTCAGCACCTGTATTCCGGCTCTGAATACATATTGAGCTCAATTTTCAAATCATCAAATGTAGCTGGAAATACAAAATCCCCCCGCTGTCTGCAGATAATATTGAGTTCATGTGTCTGAAGGTGGATGGAGAGTCATTTTTTTGTCGTAAGTTTCCTTTTGAATCTGTTACAAAAAAAATATTATGGTGAAATAGGAAGTCTTGTTAGCAGTGTTTGTATCTCAGCAGGCTATAAAACAGGACCCCAGGGAAGCATCAGAAAGGAAACATCCCATTCTGTTTCAATCATTGTCTGTCTACGAGGCTGCCATTCCTCTAACGGGAAGATGTAGAAGATTAAGGGAAAACATAGGATCTGTGTATATTGTCTTCCGCTTCTCAGGAAGGCAGAACTGAGCAGGCTTTGTTTCCATGATGCGATAGGACCTTCACCTACTAAGCTTCGCTATCAGAGGGGATCAGATGCAAACAGTTTTTTAAATTACATTATCGGACACTGTACCGCACTATTGTTACAAGTAGAAAATCAGCAGTAGAAGAGATCTTTTCTATGTGCCCTGTCCACACCATCCATGTGATTGGTTTGCAGCAGTCTGCATTTACACAGCACAATGCCCAGAAATGCATGTCAACACACCGAAGCACATTGCAGTGTTGTGGATAGAGTTGCCCGAAGTGCCATTTTGTGACATTTCAATAAAGTTAAAAAGAGGAATGTTATATGGACCATAATGTGGTGTGAATGTAAAAGATGGACACCGGCACTCCAAAGCAAATCCTGTACGTCCATTCATTCACGTACTTGTTGCAAATGCACAGGATCCCCTTCATCAGGCAAACAATTGTTTGTCTGATGAAGGGGATCCTGTGAGACCCCGAAACGTATCTTGTGTTTTGCATTTGCAACAAGTACATGAATGAATAGACGTATTGGATTTGCTTTGGAGTGCCAATGTCCATCTTTTACTTATACCGTTGACTCCTGCTGCACCCACTTCTTATGTCATGGAGCAGCGGTTCTGAGTGCAATGGTTACCCGGACTGTATGCTGGTGTGAATGGGCCCTAAAATTTAATTTAGTACATTGCTAAGGTGTGTTAGGCAGACAAGAATCTCTTGGGGTTGGGTAATTAATGGTAGCATTTGTAAAGCAGAGAAAAGGCTCTAAGTACCACAGCGTGCCTCTGTTGTACGGGAATCGCAGTGGGCCCAAGTGCTTGTTGTGACATGGACAGATATCTCTGTTCTTGTTGAGATATTGGTCCTTCCGTGGGTAGACTTTGTCATAAAGCAACAGACATTAAATGTATTAGCCAATCTACTGCAATCAACTCCTACAGTATCAAATATTCTGTTTTTAGGGACAAACTTGTCAGTACATTGCATGGAGAAATGACAGTAATCCGGGTGCAGCAACCTACGGCATCCCCAGAACCAAGGCAAGCGATGAGCTTTGCCTACCTGCCACATCGAATACCATCAGGCAAGCAGTGTGGTTGAAGTATAGCTGGGACTGCTGCCAGTAAGGACTTCTGACTTTCATGATTTGCTTACTGGTTGCAGGTCTATGGCTCAGAAATCATTATAACCAACAAGGCAACTAATGGCATCCCCATACTTCACGTGACAGCTGTAGTTTGTTGGTAGTTGGATAGCAATATATGACTGATTTCCTCTTCAAGCCATTTGTTTTAGCGGGCAATATACTGGAATGCTGCAAAATGACTGTTTTTTTCTCTTTTTTTTCTTCTCTGGGTAAACAGTAAGTGCTCTGCTGGGACTTGTAGTTCTGAGGTTGTTGGAGAATTGATGACGGCATTTCATTTAAACATATGTTACGCTCCGTTCCTGTGGAAATGGTGCATGTTGTATTGCTTGTCCGGCTCGGGTTCCTCCCACCTGGAACATTACTCGATTGGGCACAAGCCTCCAAGTCTAATATTCTTTTATGGAAAATTCTTACCGAGCCTCATAATGACGGGATTAGAAAAGCACGGCATGTAATAAACAATAATGGATTTGGCAGCCACACTACAAGTGTCCACTGGAGTCCAGAGAGTTTGGCCCGGGCACATATTGCATTAAGAAAAGTTAAATGGTTCTCTTGGTGATGTAAAAAGATCAGGTTACATTAAAAAGAGGAATGCAATGTATTTTGTCTTTCTCTCTGTAGCATGATATAAACGATCTATAATTATTGAAGAGCCGACACCAAAGATACCTTCAACTACCTTTTACTTCTATCTTTAAAATCATTGTTAGTGTAGTTGGGGGGTCCCCCCCAGTTCCGTGTGCTTTGTTCACATAGACTTTGGCTCTGGTATGTTGCATGGCAGGGGGTGGGCGAGAAGACAAAGTGGTTCCTAGCTCTGACTTGTGGCCTTTTTCAATGGGGCTCTTCAGGGTGATGACCACCGTTCGAAGAATTGCTGAGTTTTGGAATTTTATTGCTCATCACCCAAAGCCTATTTCAACTTTTAGCTGGTCAACTAAATATATTCAGGTGCATCAAAACAGAAGGTGCAAAGTCTTCTTTTTTTTTTTTGTAGAGCAGCCACAACCTGGGTAGATGAGGCTGTCCTCTGCCAGCATGCTGCAGAGAAGAATCATTAAGCTGGCCATACACCTATAGATTATCTGCAGATTGACTATGTTCAGTAAGGATGCACCGATACCGGTATTGTGGTACCGAGTACCGATTAATTTTGTTTTTCGGTACTCGCAGATACCAATTACCAAGTAACAGAAGTCCCATTCAGAAAGCCAGGTGGTGTGTAAAGACTTGCCACCCGGCTTCCTGATTAACAAAGCTGTCCCCTCTAACCTTGGTTTGTCCAGCCGGTCAGCCTGTCACTCCCAGTGCCTCTCCATGCTCTCTCGTCACAGGTGACGAGAGAGCATGTAGCCGCTTCCCGACCAAACGGGAAACCGGGCAGCGTGTAATGACGCGCTGCCCAGCTTCCGGGCTAGGCATTGAAGCATTTGGGCGAGGTACGAGTACTCTGCCAAATACTTGGTATCGGCACCGATATCGATACTAGTATCTGTGCATCCCTAATGTACAGATGGAAAAAGTGCAACAGATTCCTCCATCTACGCTAAACAGTGTGGATGGAGGAATCTCCCGCTGGGCTAAGCTTCGGGGTCTTGCAGGTCGGTCCCGCTTGCTCTCAATATACCTGAACCATGCCTGCATCCAATCAGATTGTTCAGGTATATTGAGAGCAAGCGGGACCGACTAGCAAGATACTGAGGCTTGGCCCAGTGGGAGATTCCTCCAGCCACACAGTTCAGCGTAGATGGAGGAAATTGACCACAGGCTGAAAAAAAATAAAGTGTGTGTCTGCAACACCCTTTTTTTAAGATTCCTTTTTCATACTTCTGCCTTTTTATCCTGACCTTGCATAACCCACCCTCCTCTTCCACAGATGCATACTTCTATCCCATGGCTGCATCCTCCAGTGTTTGTGTACACTTTGGCCGCCCCTACCTATTACAGCCCCATAGACTTCTATAGGGCTGTTTCCTGTTACCCTACTTCATCCTACTACAGTGTATGGGGCTGTAATGTACAGGCACGGCCAGGACAGTGAGACTTGCAACACTGGATGTAAACAAACACTAGAGTCCGCGTCATTGGATCGAGGGAGGAGTGCATCTGTGGGGAGGGGGGCTGGTCATGGTGGGTCACGGTGAAAGGGCAATAGGCCCTCTGCCACCACCTCAGTCAGTACCATTGAACCCACTTTCTTAACCCCTTCATGACTGAGGCCCTTTTTTCCATTTTTGCACCCATGTTATATTCCACATTTTAGGCAGGCTGTCAGAGCTGCCTGGGCTCACAGTACTGCACAGCACTCGTACATCATTATGCAGGCACCCTTCAGTAAAGAAAGGACCTGTGAAGTCACCAGACCTGCCAGAACACACATGGAATTAAGGTTTGTATGTAATTATAAAAAAAATAAACCAGGTACGGGGAGCTGAGGCGTGCAGATCTGCTGTCAAATTGACTGAAGAGTGCCTCAATGGGTACGGCCATGGGTTTAAGGTATGTATGCATCTGTGGAGGGGGAAGGGTGGGATAGGTTAGGTCGGGGCTTTAAAGGGGAAAAAGGGATTAGTGCACTTATTTAAATCTATTGTTGCAATGTGCAATGTAAAAAAAAAAAAAGAATAAATAACCTAAAAATCGGGGATCTGCTTGTAAAACGTTCACTTTCGGGTGATGGATATATATAATATACATTGGGGAAATTTATTACAACTGGAGCATGCGGAACATGGATCAGCTGTGCATAGTAACCAATCAGCTTCTCTCTCCAATTTGTTCAGTTGAGATTTGGAAATGAAAGCTAGAAGCTGATTGGTTGCCATGTACAGTTGCTTCAGATTCGGCCTGCTCCAGTCTTAGTAAATTCCCCTCATTAAGAACTTTGATCAGCAGGTGGCGCTGTGTTCTGAAAATACAGAAAGCTTTCTGCTTTTATTTTATATCGAGTAATAAAAGTGGTAGAGGTGCACCAAAATAAAAAATGTCCGACCAAAACCGAAAAATGTTTTTTATTTGAACTTTCAAATATTTTATTTTTTATAAAGTTTCATTTTTTTAAATTTTTATTCATTTTTTTTATTAAATATTTTTTACTTCACTTTTAGGGGCTTCGGGGAAATATTGGGTCTAAACAGTCCTCAATCTCTTTTTCTGCAGCCCTGTTATCAATGAACAGGAATCCTCTATACTGAGTGTTCCTGTTCATTCATAACATGAGGACAGAGTGTGTTTACTATAACCACAATCATGAATGAACAGGAGTTGATGTAGATCACTTCCATTCATTCATAACTGAGGATGCAAAACATACCATGTCCTCAATTTATGTACAAACACTCCGTGATCATTGTTTGCACTCGCTCTCCATCCTGACAGCTGTCACAGGAGGCTGAGCGAGCGGTGTGGGAGGAGACAATGGACGCTCACAGTGCTCTCCTCCCCCAGCGCCCGGCAGCCTGTCAGTTTCTCTCCTCCCCGTTCGGGAAACAGAGCAGCACCCAGCGGGGAGGAGAGAAAGAATGGATGCACCGCTGTATCGGCCAGGATTTTCGGCCGATATATCGATGCGTCCCTAAAAAGTAGACCTGTTTTGTTAGACTTGGAATTCCCAAATCCTAATAAATTTCTTAGTGTACCAAATGACTTCACAATTCTTTACACACAGGTAAAATAAACGATCACTCTCCCTGCCGACCAGAATCCTTCTTCCAGAATAAGTTTGTCTTGTCATTGTTGTAGGAATGTTGGGGGTGGGGGGTGGGGGAAGAAACCTCAGACTTGTGTGTCGTCTTGTTTACTGCAGTTGTGCTGTCTTGTCATTCTAGGTATGGGGAGAAGAACCCTCCTTTTGTGGTGGCCAGCTTCGACAGCAGTGATGATGACAAGATGGAGATTTCTCAGAAAGTGAATTATGCCGTGGAGAAAGTGACATCAGATTATCATTCCGGATCTTCATCAGACGACGAAGTGTATATAAGTCACCAAAAGACTCTGCCCTCTCCAGTAACGCCCAGAATGTGTGATGTTTACCAGGTATGTGATTGAATCAGTCTTTCTGTAAGCTTGGGGGTCACTAAACTAACAGTACAGCCTGCTTAGGAAAGTCATAGATGGGCTACATGATCGACACTAGATCCACGTTTTCTCATAAATAAAACCGTGTACGTACTGTCTGTGACGGTTCTAATGCATCCAGGTCATGGTATAGCTGTAAAGAAATAAGTCGAGGCATCTGGACTTGCTGTATTTTTCTTGAAGATGTTTTACTGGTCCTCCAACCAGCTTTCTCAAGTCATTGTGAATTGAGAGATCTGGTGGGATGACCAGTGAAGCGTCTTCAAGAAAAATACAGCAAGTCCGGTTGCCTCGACTTATTTTTTTACAACCGTGTACGTACTTTTCCATTTTTGAGATGAATGCCGGATCTTTACCCGCGTGATAGCAAGACTGAACAACCAAGCTCATACTCGGGATCTCTAGTAAAGTGACTGATTATCACAAATTAGAGATGTACCAATACTGGTATAGGTGCTGATACTGAGTATTTGGGTGAGTACTCGTACTCAGCCAAATACTCCCGATGCTTACTCCGACACCGGAACTTCCAGTATCAGGAAGCAGGGCCGCGAATCGTTACACGCCGCCGGCTTTCTGGTTGGCCCACTGCACCTGTTTTTTTTTTGTTTTAATTCCATCCATACGTTAATTCTAGCGGTCTGGTGACTTCACGGTCCCTTTCTCTACTTTGGTGTTGGGGGGTCCTAACTATAGCACTGAAGGGTGTGTGCATAATGACAGGAGAGCACTGTTCAGTGATCCAGTACTGTGAGCCTAAGCCAGGGAGGTGACTCAGGATTTAAATCTTAAAAATGCATTCAAGTACCTCAACTATTAACAGAAATGTCTCTTATTTGTGTATCACTCGGCTGTAGATCCTCAAATCATCTCTGAATTGGCGCTGACACTGTTCTTCCTTCTGGAGGGTGGCTACTTTTGTTCCCCATAGTCCTGTGTGTGTTGTAAAGTAGTCACCGCTCCAAGCTCACTCCTGTGATGGACTACAGTCTCAATACAAACCAGTAAACTAAACCTAAGATTGTAGTCCATCACAGGAGCAAGATGGAGAGGTGACTACTTTACAACACACACAGGACTATGGGGAACAAAAGTAGCCACCCTCCAGAAGGAAGAACAGTGTCAGCGCCAATTCAGAGATGATTTGAGGATCTACAGCCGAGTGATACACAAATAAGATACATTTTTTGTTAATAATGAAGGTACTTGAATGCATTTTAAGGGTTAACTTTGAAAAATCCCGGAGCTGCTCTTTAAACGATTGATTTGTCTATACAAAGTCCTTTCCCGGTGGCAGGCTGCCTCTACGTGGTGCACACAGGCCGTCCTTATTGCTTATTTTTGAACCCGTTTCTGTTGCTTAGGAGCAAATGAGCCTGACATTCACATGCAAAAAAACCAAGGAAATGAGAAGATCGAATATCAGATTTACACATGACCTCAGCTCCACTCGCTGCACTGCTCATTAACTCTTCATCACCCAGTCACATTTTTAATAAAGGGTACACAGATTGCTTGTGTGGTCAGGGTGGAAGAGGGACGTTCTTACACGTAGACTTCTATGAGAAAATCTAACAGTTAGTCACATAAGGGTGAAGAGTTTGGAGAAGGCCGGAGAAGGGAACCATCTAGGACAACATAACTGATTTACAAAAATTCTCCAATTCCGCTCACTTTCCAGTTCAGCTATGTTGTCCTAGATGGTTCCCTTCTCCGGCCTTCTCCAAACTCTTCACCCTTATGTTCCCATCTCCCCTAAGTGTTTAAAGGGCAGCGCACACTCCGCACTAACATACATTTAAGGAACACAGACAGACACATTGACAGATCTCAAAAATGTCCCCATTTTGGAGAAGTTTTCAGGTGGTGGGGGTCCTCTCCGCACACCTTACAGCAGTCCTGGCCAAATAAGAACGATGGTGCTCGCAATGACTATCACGGATGGCACCGTGCAAAATACGAAGTAAAAAGAAACAGGTCACCAGCACTCGTTTAGAATAAATATGTCCTTTTTTAATGGACAATTGTGTCACTACAATCAACAGGCTCTGTTGATTGTAGTGACACAATTGTCCATTAAAAAAGGACATATTTATTCTAAACGAGTGCTGGTGACCTGTTTCTTTTACTTCCCATTTTGGAGAAGGCTTAGGAACTCTGTTCCATTTTTCCTAAAGGAGGGTCATTAATGGATGAGGCTGAATAGATGAGGACAGTTGAAACTTGTTCCTTGTAGATTTTAAAATGTTGGAAGACAGCGAATGTGCAATATGATGGGGTAGTTAGATGAATGGATCATCCGTCTATTTGTCCTTTATACTAAACACTGTCCAAATTGCTCTGAAATGATCACAGAGGTAGTTACCGTGACACTAAACTCAGGAGACAAACCTTGCAGTGAGCCATCCCCCACACTGCAAGGGTTAACTGCTCCTTATTCCCTAGGGGGCCAAATAAAGAAGAAATACTCACCTGATACGGGATCCTGCGGCAGTGACTGCTCACCTGTTTCCCCCTCCGCTCCAGCTGTGCTACGTTACCGTCCGCACCCCTGCGTCTAATACACTGTATTAGGTGGGATGACACACGGGTCCTTAGACCACCGGGAACCAGTTTAGCAGCCAGGCAGGATCAATAATCAGATGAGCCTTTCTTCAGTCCTGTAAAAAAAAACTAGACGTTAACCCTTGCAGTCGGGGGTAGCTCACTGCAAGGGTTAACGTTTAAAAAGCCTGGAGTTTCTATTTAAATCAGAACTTTGCTCTTGTGAACAGGAAGGGTTTTTATTGCAGGAGAGACGTACATTGTACTGCAATAAAAACCTTCCTACCCTCATAGAATGTACATTGCACTGCACATGCCCAGCTCGGTGTACATTCTCGGCACGCCTCAGTGCCAGGATGAATGAACTCTCGCTGAGAGTGACATCATCCCAGCCTGACCAATCAATATGACTGGAATCAGAAGAAGATATTGGGACCAGTGAGGGAGCTCACATCACTGGAGAGGAGGAGGAAGCGCTTAGTCCCGCTTTAATCATTCATATATCATTCGTATCATGTATGTGTATGGTATCTGCCGTACATGTTGGATGTGGGAAGATACTGCTGAAGAACACAATAGAGGGAACTTGTCGGGGCGGAAATATGGCAATCATGTGAGCATGCCTGTTCCTAGTCAGTAATCCACAAAGCGGTGATGGAAGGATCAGGATGACAGCCTTGGATTCTGTACCATCAGAAACTGTTGACAGGTTCTCTTTATTCTTCCCATTTAGAGATAACAGCCCCAGACTTGCATGCTGTGCTGACAGAAGTTGAATGCCGGGCAGCCCTGTAAAGTAGATCATCTACACTTGCCATTCTGGTGGCCTGTCTGTACATGCTGCCGCTTCACCGCTCCCCAACAAGTGGACGTATTCGAG